TGTCCGGGCCTCTGCGACGTCAATGCCGAACTGCTGGATGCCGTCCTTGCCAGTGGCTAGCTCCGCCACGAAGATGCCCGTGATCGAGATCATCGCCATGCGGCCGTTGTTGATCTCCTTGTTCCAGATCTCGTCGCTGTAGCCGCCGCCGAAAGCGCCGAAGAGCCCCGCCCAATTGCCCGGGTCCCCGAAATTGCCGGGCTCCTTGGACACATCGTCGTCCAGCCAATACACGCACTCCAGTAAGAGAACGACAGGAAGGATGAAGCAGCTGAACCCGCAGATGCCGACGCCGTCAGTGATCGCCCCGAGGCCGGCAGGGATGCTCTCGAAGCCGGGGAGCTTCACGAAGAGCTGGAACACGGTCCCAAGGGCGGCCATCATATTGTTGTTGTTGTTGTTGGGGGGTATGCACGCCCGGACGGCGGCCCCCGCCGACCTATCAGAAGACGAAGCGCAGAGGCCGACACGAGATACCCGCCAGGAGGAAGGGGGAGGCGGAGCAGGAAAAGGGGGAGGAAGGGGGAGGAGGGGGAGGGGGAGCCGGGGAGCAGGAAAAGGGGGAGGAAGGGGGAGGGGGAGGAGGGGGAGGGGGAGCCGGGGAGGAGAGGATATCCCGTAGCGGGCCACAGGGACACCCGAACACTCGTTTGCGCAGGGTCCAAATGGTGGGCGGTTCCCCCTTGAAAAAGCGGTTGGGATCACTGTGCACCCGTACATCCCAGACAACGTACACAACATAATAGCGTACCATACACACTCATGAGTACGCACAGAGTACACTCAACACACACACTCATGAGTACGCACAACATACACAAAAAAACATACACGCACAGTGCGTATCCCTTTATGCGACTCCCCGTCCATGCGACGTTCCCTCCCATACGGTTCGCAAGCGGCCTGGATCCTCCGAGGTTGCATCACATGCCAACAGGGTGCAAGACCCCCACCCAAAGAGGCCCGGTGCAAGACTGGACCCCGGCGCAGCGGGCGGCCCGAAGGCGAAGGCGGCACAAGCAACCAAGCGAGAACACGGGCACGCACAGCTCGCAGCTTGGCGAAATACAGGATTACGCTCGAAACCCGCCAGATCCCGGACAACGTACACAACATAATAGCGTCCCACACACACTCATCCCAGACAACGTACACAACATAATAGCGTAGTACACTCAACGGTACCATACACAATGTACATACACGCACAGTGCGTATCCCTTTACGCGACTCTCCGTCCATGCGACGTTCCCTGCCATACGGTTCGCAAGCGGCCTGGGTCCTCCGAGGTTGCATCACATGCCAACAGGGTGCAAGACCCCCACCCAAAGAGGCCCGGTGCAAGACCGGACCCCGGCGCAGCGGGCGGCCCGAAGGCGAAGGCGGCACAAGCAACCAAGCGAGAACACGGGCACGCACAGCTCGCAGCTCGGCGAATTACAGGGACTACGCTCGAAGCCCGCCAAAGTTCCCCCACCCACCCTCCGAGAAATGCCAGAAGAACCAAACGTTTCCAAACTGCTCGGTAGCCACTGGCGTCCCTGGTCGCCTGGCCAAAACATGTAAGGTCGACACCTTAGGACCGGCAGCGCGCCGCACAGAAACCCGCGCTCCACCTACACCAGGGTGCGGTGGTCAGGCGCCCCCCAGCGCTAACGACTAGTGTGTGGCCAGGGGAGATGCCCGAAGACATCAACCGCCCCCGGCCCAGGGACTGTCGAGTGATGCCCTCCCGCCCTGGCAGGAGACACGAGCAAGAACAAAAGGAACGAACGACCCAGGGCACAATGCGCACAGCGGAGTCGGCGTCCATCCGCTGTGCACTGCAGGGGTTTGCCGTGCCGGCTCGCGCAGCATTTCTGAAAACCATGGACTAGTCTCCATCCTATGTAGCCGGCCCGTTGCCCCGCGACCCGGCCGGGCGGCCTGGGCATCCATGGGTCTACATAATCACAAGCGCGCTAAACGAGGCACAGTAGCTCCTTTCCGACTCGGCGGTCTGTGGACGCGCCGGTCGAGATGGCGAGTCTCGACCCGACGCCGCGGCCCAAGGAGCAGGGCGTGGGGCGGTGAGGGTCAAAACCGCGCCCTACGCTGAAGAGTCTGAGCACGAACAACCAAACCAGTACCACACAGCCCAAATGACCCTCCTTCGCAAAACAACTATAGTTCATGGAGACTCGTGGCACGAAACACACGCACAAGCACAACACACATCACGCACAATAAAAGATGGGAAACACACCTCCGAACGAAAGCTCCTTGAACCAATACTGCATGACCCCGCCGCCCGGGCGGCCATCATAGCCACGCGGCCGTGCTTCAGCTCGGAGCTGCGGAGCTTGTGGAAGGCCTCGTAGTCACCGACCTGGCAGAACCCGAGCGGATCGAAGTAGCCCAGGGGCGCCATCACGCCGACGGCCTTGGCGGGGGCGAATGGCGGCGGCGGCGGGGGCTCCAGGGCGTCCTCCGTGGTGGCCGCGGGCGCTTCCCCCACTGCGACCGCCGCCGCGGACAGCGCACGGCGCGAGCCGCGGGATGGCCTCCCGGCGCCGGCCGCGGACGCGGCGACCAGGGCCGCAGAGCCGAGCAGCCAGGGCGAGGCGCCGCCAGGCCCGGCGCCGAGCACCTCCGGCTGGGCGGCGCACGCCGCGGCGGTCAGCGAGGCGCGCCTCCCGGCGCCCCGAAAGCCGGCTGCCCAGCCGGAGCCGGCGGCGGGCGTGGCGAAGGCGACGGCGCCCGCGTCGGACATCGCTGCGCGCGGGCGCTGCGGATGTTGGCGGGTGATTCGGACTTGAGCCTTGAGCCAATTCCTAACTACTACTACTACTACTACTACTAATACTACTACTACTACTACTACTACTACTACTACTACTACTACTACTACTACTACTACTACTACTACTACTAGTAGTACGACTACTACTACTACTACTACTACTACTACTACTACTACTACTACTACTACTACTACTACTACTACTACTACTA